CCCGAGTTAATTGCTAATTAGGGCTGTGGCTATTTTTGGGGGGTGGGGCTCCCCCCCGTGCCCCACTTGGCCCCGAGCCGGAGCCCCCCGTGATGTAACGCGGCCCCGTGACCCCGATTTGGGGGGCGGAGGGGGGGTCCGACCCCAAAATGTGGGTCAGGAAGGGGCCCCGAGCCCCCGGTGTGGGGCAGGACCCCAAAACGTGGGGCAGGACCCCAAAATGTGGGTCAGGAAGGGGTCCCGAGCCCCCGGTGTGGGGCAGGACCCCAAAACGTGGGGCAGGACCCCAAAATATGGGTCAGGAAGGGGCTCCGAGCCCCCGGTCTGGGGCAGGACCCCAAAACGTGGGGCAGGAGAGGGTCCCGAGCCCCCGGTGTGGGGCACGACCCCAAAACGTGGGGCAGGAGAGGGTCCCGAGCCCCCGGTGTGGGGCAGGACCCCAAAACGTGGGGCAGGACCCCAAAATGTGGGTCAGGAAGGGACCCCGAGCCCCCGGTGTGGGGCAGGACCCCAAAATGTGGGGCAGGAGGGGGGTCGGAACCCCGGTGTGGGTCAGGAGGGGGGTCAAGACCCTGATGTGGGTCAGGAGGGGGTCCCGACCCCCCAATGTGGGGCAGGACCCCAAAATGTGGGGCGGGACCCCGATGTGGGGCGGGAGGGGCTCAGGACCCCACTCTGGGTCACAAGGGGGGGTCGGGACCCAGATGTGGGGCAGGGGGGCTCCGGGACCCCTCAATGTGGGGCAGGACCTCCCAGTGTGGGTCAGGAGGGGGCTGGGGGGGTCCCACAATTTTGTGGGGTGGGGGGTCAGGACCCCCGATGTGGGGCAGGAGGGGGGACGAACACCCCGCTATGGGGCAGGACCCCAATGTGGGGCTGTGTCACATCCCGGGGGGGGCAGCGCTGGTCCTGGGGGGCTCAGCCCCACACTTGGGGGTCCCGGGGAAGCCAATTTGGATCCTGGGGGGCCCAGTCAGGAACTGGGAATTGGTGCTGGGGTTTGGGGGGTCCTGGGGGTCTCTGGGGGTCCCGATTTCCATCCCGGGGATCTCTGGGGGTCCCGATTTCCAT